TCGACGTACTTCTATATGATCGGAATGATCCGCTACCCAGAACTTTTATTCCTTTTTTACAGTTGCTTGTCATTACTCCATGTCTTTCCCTCCCATGATCGATTCAAGCTGTCTCTATTCCTCAGATCGTCGCGCTGATTAGACCGTCAGAAATGCCATTGACGCCGTTTGCTTCCTCGCACTTCTATCACGCTTCTGTCAAACAGTTTCAGCTTCATTATTTTATCGTCATCGTTAGTTGTTTTTCTATATGCTTCATCACGTTCCATATTTTTTTTCAATTTCACCACGTTTATCGCATATGGTGCTCTTCGTACCTAGTCCCCATCTCACTTCCTCGTTTTAGAAAACTTGCGTAAACCCGACAACTTATTTTTGCGTTCTTTCTGCGTGCCTTATGGACAACGAACCTCCTCCCGAGGAGACACCACCCGGTGATTTATCCAGGTATTCTTCAGTTTCCTCGATGCGAAGCATCCGAAACCACGATTTCTTGTGATAGCCGTGATATTGCATCTCATGAATCTTCTACGTTTAGCGAACAGGTTCTCGACGTTACGAGTGTTAACCGATGCGTTGCATCCGATACTCAGATTTCCTGTGATTCCCCAATGGACACTTCGGAGCCCATTGGTGAAAATTCTTCTTTGGCCGAGACCGATCCCATTCAGTCACCGGAATCTATTACAGGTGCTACAGCCGGTGACCCGCTCATGGCCCATCAGCCGACGACTCCGCCTGCGAATCAGCCAGACGAATCTCCCTCTCAGGATCTTCAAGCGTCCGATCTTCTCCAGTCGTCTATGGATTTCTCTCCCCCGGCGTCGTTACGGAAGGCTCGCAGCGCACAGGACCTCTCACCTCTGGCGGAGGAGCAGCCCTTAGCGAGCATGACCGCCTCGATGGAGCAGCTCAGCGTGGCGGCATCCGTGCCACCCCCTTCCCAGGTTTCTTCTCGGGTCAGGGGCTTGCCACCCTCTCCATCCGCCACCCCAGCTAAGGCTCAGCGATCGTCTTCTGGTCACCGTAGATCCTCGGTGACCCAGCCCCTACCTTCAAGTAGTAGGGCGGCTTCTTCCTCCTCGTCTCATCGCGGCACCACTCGCGGTCGGGCGACCGCCGCCCCGAGGTCGGCAGCACGTACTTCCGCCCCACCCAACCCCCCTGCTCGTGGCGCACCTGCTGCCAGAGGCGCTGGCGGACGAGGTCACGGCGCTCCGCGGCGTGGCGGCCCCCTGCCGCAGGTCCATATACCAGCCAGCTTCCAAGGGAAACGCCGGATAATTTCTCCCATTATTTAATCGACCAGCACCCGTGGGCTCGTTGGGTCAATCCTCGCCCGATACACCTGCTACGGGACAATGTTCGCCCGGTGACGCTCTCCCTTGACACCGCCATTTATCGTCATCTACCTGACTCAGGGTACATGAACATCCGTTTCAATAAGTCCCTATTTCCTCAGGTGGTCTTTCGTTCGGATCGACCGCCAGCGGAAGTCCCTTTTATTGAGCTCCAGCACCTGGAGGATACGATAGCATTTCGTGCCCGCTCCAAACAGGTGCTGGACGCTCTCCTGGATGGCACATATAAAGAGCCAGATATGGGCGACCTTAAACCCACCAATATGTCGGTCCATCCTTCTGCCCTGGTACCACCCATCTGGAAGGGTATACGTCCCGTACTCTACCAGATCGTCTCTACGGGTTGGGGCACCGGCGTAGTTCTAGAAGCCAAAGACTTCTTTACCGTCGGGCCCGACCGCCGGGATCTCCACTGCATCATCCTCGATAAGTTCGCCATCGAGATCCTTGAAGGTGGCCGTGGCTTCAACAAATCTTTGGTCTCGATCAAAGATTTTGTGTGGGTTTACGATGTAAAGCCCACCCGTCAAGCCCTGCAGTCCCCACAGGAAGTTTTGAAGCAGGCTTCCCGACCCCGCACTACCGCACTTACTACCTCGTGCGTATTCCTTCTTCAGAGTAGCGCACTTCGCTCTAGTGCCTCCCCATAATCAGGAAGAG